ATATTCACTCACCAAAATTTAGCAATGTTAAAAATTTTTGAACGTTCTCTTTGGCGCTGCTGCTAGTTTCATTATTGTTGTTATTGTCATATATTCCACATTTCTTCATTTCCTCTGGGCTGCAGTACTTTGAATCTGTTTCAATTAAGACACATTAGCAAACAATTTAAGTAAAATCTGAATGTGATAGAGTAACTTCCAAAATGTCATAGCAGGTTTACGAATTGTGTCGCGCAAAAAAATGTTGAAGTTGCACTAGCGTTTTTTTACGTGTGACACCCCCTCATGCAACTTGAACATTTCATTTTTTTTGTTGAGAGAAAAGTAGAACTGGCTTCTACTTTTTTCAACATTTTTCGGAAAAACGCGTGTGTGACATGCAACTTCCAAATTTTTCAATTAGGCGCACGAACCCATAATAAAGCGAGAATCTGTCCTGTTGTCACTTGTTGTAATAATAAACAAAGATGCCCGACGTCATCTTTGGCGAAAGCGATAATTTTGAAGAAGAAAACGAAACAGAAAGTGAGATGATCGTACATTTTCAATTTACGCGTAACTTGAACATTTTTTTGTACGAGCTAAGTTGCAACGGAAYTTTGCTAGTGTGACATGGCATCGTGCAACTTCAACATTTTTTTGCGCGACACAAGTTGCACGAAAAAAACGCCAGTGTGACACGGCCTTTAATCAACTTGAGAAACTGTAGTGTTTTGAACTCCGTATGTATTAGACGTGCACCAACAAAGGATTRCTAGAACTCTATTAAAAAGAATATTGCTCAGTACAGCTGTTTTCTCGTGGCATGCTTTCGCGCGTCGGTGGTTAAGCCATTTTTTACTTGAAGATTTTTATGTCTTTACAGTAGACAAGACTTTTAATTAGGACATCTCTGTTGATCGCCTCCAACTGGTTAATGCTTGCTAAAAGATCATCGAAGAGTTCTATCTTCAATCCAGTGTTATTTACTTTGCATGTGTGTTGTGATGTAGGTGTCCAAATGTCATGGAAATATATTTTCATCAAATCTCACAGAATGCATATTGGGGCAACATAACTTATTACTTGAAAGAGGGGGGCAACATCAGCGTTAATTAACAAAGGCGAGAGGAGATCAGAGAAGGGAGAGCTMGGGGTAACATCTAACTTAGAAACCAAACGCAAAACTGAATAAACCAGAGTAAGATGATTTTATAACTGGGTATAATTTTGTAACCACGGAGGCCTACTCTGGGATCCAAAATCTTCTTGAAACTCTCTGATTGAAATCGCCTCAACTCTCTCAAGAGTCAACAGAATATTGAGTGGCATTAGTGTAGATTGCTAAAATTTATCAAATCGCCACAAATTCTGTCTCAAAGATACGGCAAAGACCATCCAAAAAGTTTGATCAGGTTTGTGTAATATTTCTTAAATCAAATAGCACTCAGTGAAGTTGGCCCCGAAAACCCATTCAATGTGTCGGTCCAGATTCCCTGGCGATCATGTAGTACCCTAACCCATCTCTCTACACATCGCATTATCAATGGAGTTTTGTAAAAGATCACGCAACATTTTTCGACTTTAAAAGAATTTCATAGAGCATGGTGTGTCTAGTGCTCTGATAGTTTATGGTGTCCCGTCAGTCCCTACTGTTATTAAGGCAAGATAGCTAAGGAGTACTGAGCTTAATATATTGTTTAGCTTACTTGTTAAGCCCGGCATTCCCAGAAATCTACATCCACAACTTCTAATTATTTTACGCGCATGACATTCCATCAAGCAAGTGCTTTGGGCATAAAACTTGGAAGTCTTTAGTTTTTTGCTCCCGCAGGCTGAAGGGTAAGGAGCCTTAAGAATGTTGCTCTATAAAAAAATAGATATAGATATAGATATATCTCATTCATAATTATGCTCGACGATAAAACGTCTTCTTGTCCTTCTATAGCGAGTTCCAATCATGAAGGTCCATATCATCATTAACTCTGTTTCAAAGAGTTTAAATGTTACTTACTTCTCTCTTTTGAAATGAAATTGTGGTCATGTGACCTGCCATTACATCGATSCCATTACCCTCTATCAGCGGCTCTTCGTGTTGATCGTGAACTACCACCCGTACACCAGTRTTAAAGTAGCTTAACATCCCATAGTATTCGCTGMCTTTGGGATCGAKAATCAGAACAAGCCCAAGACTACGTTCATTAGAAGTTGAGAGAAGTGCCTCCCCATCATGTCTTGAATTGAATGTATGGCAAAGGCCRTACTATAACAAAAGCATGATCGCATAAGACAACTTTTCATCGAAATATCAGTTATCATTGGATAATGTGGTTTTGTCCA